AGCCCCCATACTGCCGCACGGGCTGGAAAAGCAATTTGCTGGCGGGCTTTTTCTCGAGGTAATGTGGCATGTCCCAGAAGGAAGGGCATTCCGCTGCACAGCCCCTGCCCTCACCGGCATCTCAGTTGCATCTGAGTTCGGAGGCACCCGCGCTCTTTCTGAATTCAGCACAAAGACAACTGCAGTCCGCTTAAATGCGACCAAAACAGACAGGGGGGCGTGATTATTGCTTGCTGCACCTTAGTAGGAGAGGGCATGCTGTGCTGCCTAAGACACTGGAATCTCCTGAAAAAGAATGCAGGTACCAAGCTGGGAAAATAGGTCGAGCCTTACCTTAGAATAGAAGAAAAGCCAGATTGTATGTCCATCTCACCGCTGTCATTTCTGGCTCATACAACTGGCAAGCATGCCTGGCTTGCAATGTAAGAAATGGTTGCAAACATGAGCACTTGCCCACAGAAAGGTTTGCCAGTGGCCAGACATTTGTGCACCCTTCCCATGTTAAGTTTCTGTGAATTTCGTAATTTGCACAGATTTGCCCATAGACTGGACCAGCCTTGTTTCAGTCTGTTTAGGGAATTTGCACTAATTCACATTGGATTTTTGTTCAATTTGTGTGATTTTCCCCTTTGCACAGAGTAAGCGGCAATTCCAGACTCAGGAAGCAACAGGGCATGGAAGAAAGGACGAGACAGTGTACAGAGAATCCTTGCCGTCTTGAATATCACTCACCCGAATCTTGTGTAGCATTCTCCTCTCGTAGTAGCCAAACAACCATTGGCTTGCTCATGCTCACAGGCAGCTGGTAGACCAGGGCGTCCTGCATCAATTGCTGGTAGTACTGCTCATGTGGAGAAGAAGCCCGGCCCTGCCAGATATGGTATTATGTAACTGGAGATGCAGGAGGGGGCAGACAGCTCTGATCCATCAAGTTTACCAGTGTGGGTTGCTCACCAAGCATAAATGGGCAGCATCTGAGAACCAAAGCAAACTGGAAAAGAGGGAGACAACGCAGCACAGGGAGAGGTGGCGGAAGGAGTGGGATTTTTACTCTGCAATAAGACAATGGACAAAACAGACAGACCAAGTAAGCAGCATCGGTACTCCGTTCCTTTGGCTCTCAAGCATCAAGAGCCGCCCTGCTAGAGTGGAGTCGGAAGGGTGCAAAAAGGGGGAAAAGGAAAGGCCAATTCAGTTCAGAGTCAGCTCTTCACATGGGCAGAAGCTACTTCCCCTTCTCACAGAAAATCGTCACTTTATTTATTTATTTATTTATTTAGCACTTTTGTATGCCGTCCTATTATACAAGACCTCAGGACGGCTTCCTTTGATTTATGGTGTTTGTTGAGCTGCAATGAAAGACTAGGTTTTTTCGAGGTTTCCTTGTGGGAAAGTGAGAAAGGAGAGAGAAGTCTGCACCAGTTTTCTTTTTCCCACACAATACGTAAGTCTGGCCCAGGCAAAAGTCCAAACATGAGTGTTCAAATGTGAAAGTGCCCACTGAAAATGTTCACAAACTGAGAACTTTCAACTGCATTCATCATTGTTCCAGAATCCCAGTTCCACTTGTCCATTTCTCCTCATTTACATGAACTTCCTCAGTACCTGAATTACCCCGCTTTAGTCTATGGAGCGCCTCTTCCCCTACATGCCCTCACGCCCTTTAAGATCTGCGGGAGAGGCTCTGCTCCAGGAGCCCTCTTTAAAGGAGATAAAAAGAACAACTACCCGGAGCAGGGCCTTCTCTGCAGTGACTCCCAGTTATGGAATGCACTCCCTGGAGAGGTGCACCTGGCGCCGAGTTTATACTCTTTTCAGCACCAGGTTAAAAACTTTTTATTGAATTGCTATTTTAAAAATTAATATTTTTTATTAACAGTCACTTTTTTGTTTTTGTTTTTATAAAATTTTATGGAATCTGTTACTGTTTTATTGTTTTAATCGTATATTTGTGAGCTGTCCCGAGATGCCGAGGCATGCGGTGACGGCATGTAAAAGTTTTAAATAAATAAATAACATGCAATATGGAAGAAATCCATGCAAATATATGCAAATTTGAGGTGATTTGCACCAATGTCCTATTCAGCCACTGCTCCGTTTGCATAACTTTCCCATTTGCACACAGTGAGCAGTGACCAAAAAAGTGAACAGGGATCAGGAGCAACGTAAGAGCAGAGCCATGTTCATAGAATACTCGCATCAGAAAACATGGCTAGTTTTCCTCCCCAAATTTAATACCATCCCAAGGCTGATGGTTAAAAGACACATTAACCCAAACATTTCATTTCGTAAAGGAGCCCAGCTCTGATTCACATTGTGCGAGGCTCACAACTCCATCTCTTGGGTACTACACAAGGTCATCGTGTCCAGGACCAGGTGCTTGAGCTTATCAGTTTCTGGTCAAGAAGAGCAGTGTGGATTTTTCTGATGCAACCAGATATCTGGAGTGGAATGACAATGGCTCTAGTGACGCACCTTTGATTTGACCCTGCCGTGATCTGGTTGTGTTCCTAAAGCGTTGTGTACACCAGAGGGGACAGAGGGATTCCCCTGCTGCAATGCCTGTTTTGCATCAATGTCCTATCAACCTTTTGCCTATCGCTTTGGAATGTGTGCCTTGTTTAGCAGGGAGTTGCCCTAATAAGCTGCTTTATGGCTGATACAAAGACGGAGAAAACACAACAGGTGGAATCATCTATTATGAGTTCCTTGCCTGGCGCTAACTTACCATTTCTTCCAAAGAGATTATGCTTTATCCCCAGCCAACATGCTTTATGTGCCTCATAATATGTATTTTTATCTGAATGAATTTTTTATCCTGCTGTATAAATATTTTTCACTGTATAAATAAGTTAAAGCATATTTTTGAAAAGATGCATTTATTTAAATCTGTTCCCTTTTCTCTTATTTATTTATTTTATTTTATTTTCACATCACCTTGCCTCAGAATTATTTCATTTGATTTAGGAAGCAGGGAAGAGATATTGCAATCTGTCTGCAAACAAACAAAAAAATTAACACCAAGTGGTACCCCCATAAACCCCCCCCCCATCTTTCACAGGAAACTCATGTGCATTTGGCAAGGTTCTGTGTACAGCTAGAAAATGTCACTAGAGCTGAATTTTAAATCAAGTGCTCATATTTCTTTGGGGACTTTCCGATGAGGAGAAAAAATAGAATATTTACAATTTAGTGCATAATTCATTTTCTGTGGATAACTTCCAATACACTTTCCCACCTTCATACCTCTTACTTGCTTACTTTATTTATTTATTTTTCTCCTGCTCGTCAGCCCAAAATATATTTGTTTTTTTTTTTTAAAGCATTAGAAGTCCTGAGACGCTTAAAAGAGAGATGGGGCAAAGGGGCAGAAGGAATAAATAAAATAAAATTGAAGAAACCAGTGCTCATTAATTACCATTTATGTAGGACAGTCAGATGCTCCAGTGAGCTCAGAACAGAGCTGCTGCATTTCTGCCTGGAATCTCTGGTGGACCATTTGATAGCAATGGCCTTCTTGCCCACTTCTGAACCCAGTTTGAAAAAGTGGTGCCAAAGTCTTACATGGCCCTGGTGCTGGAGTATCTCTGGGAACCCTCCATGAAAGAAATTAGGAGAGTAAGTACTCGGAGGAGGGCTTTCTCTGCGGTGGCACCCAACCTATGGAATTCACTCCCCAAAGAGGTCTGCCTGGCACCGTCATTACTGGTTTTTCAGCGCCAGGTAAAGACCTTTTTATTTAAACATCATTTTAATTGTTAAAACATATGATCTGGCCAGGGCAACTTCTTCTTCCTTCTCTTTCTCCTCCTATATTTTTATTTACTTATTTTTATACTGATAATTTTATATTTGTAACTCAGAGTATTTTTTTGTATTTTTGTATTTAATGGTAATTTATTATGTTCTATTGTATTTCAATGTATTTTATTGTGTTGTAAGCCGCCCCGAGGTTTCGGCAAGGGGTGGCATAGAAATGTTATAATAATAATAATAATAATAATAATAATAATAATAATAATAATAATAATAATGGCATTTTTCCTCCCAAATGCACTTGGTCAGACCTACAGGTCACCTTCAGGCTCTTTCCCCGCTGTGGACATCCTAAAACAGCTACATGGGGTAGCTACAAAAGAAAGGTCCTTCTTAGTGGGGACAGCTATCTTATGAAACGTCAGCGGTTCATCTGAGATCGCTGAGACCAGTCCAACACCACTCTTTTCTCCCAGGTATTTTGAGAGACCTCGTGCCAAGCTGTCACTGTGACAGTGATGGTGGCACCATGATCGTTCATACACTGCAGTCCCTTGTGATAGATATTTTGTCATGTTTTACATGTAACAGTTTTAAAATTATGTTTAAGTTTCATAACTAGTCAGCATTTGCCCATAGAATATGAATTATAAGGCAGTTTAGAAATGCATCAAATAAGTAAGACCACTCCTAAAAAAAGCCAGACTTTGACCAGGGGCCATTGCTAATTATAAGCCAGTGGCATTTTTGGGCAAGGTGCTTGAGTGAGTGGTGGCCCAGCAGCTCCAGGCACTCTTGGATGAAATGGATTGTGTTTTTTTTATTATTATTTTTTATTTATATCCTGCCTTTTTCCTACAAAGGGCTCAAGGCAGCTTACATCTCCTCCTCCATCTTATCCCCACAACAACAATCCTGTGGGGTAGGTTGGGCCGAGAGTCTGCGACTGGCCCAAAGTCACCCAGTGGGCTCCATGACTGAGCAGGGACTCGAACCCAGGTCATCTGAGTCCCAGTCCCATGCTCTTAACCACTATGCCACTCTTGGTCCATTTCAATCAGGTTTCAGGCCAGGGTTTGGAACAGAGACTTCCTTGGTCACCCTATGGAATAACTGTTGCCAGGAGAGGGACTGGGGGAGTTCTCCTGGAACTTTCATCAGCTTTTGACACCATTGACCATGGTGTCCTTCTGGACTGGCTGGCTGGGCTGGGAGTTGGGGGCACTGTACTACAGTAGCTGCACTCCTACCTGACCAACTGGTGCTAGTTGCTCTGCCCCATCGTGATTATGCTATGGGGTGGCTCAGGGCTCTATACTGTTCCCCAAGCTGTTCAACATATACATGGACCCACTGGGAGAGGTCATTTGGAGGTGGGAACTGAGCAGTAACAAAAGCTTGGTGAATTTCTCTTTTTGTCTAACCAGGTGAGGTGTTTTCCATTCTGCATCATGACCTGAGCTTGATAATGGACTGGATGAGGGCCAATAAATTGAAACTGAATCCATATAAGATGGAGGTGCTGTTGGTGGATGGTCTGTCTACTCAGAGGAATGCCCTTCAACCAGTCCTGGATAGGGTCACACTCCCTCTGAAGGACAGGATCTGGCTTTGAAGTGCTCCTGGACCCAAGATTATCACTTGAGTCTCAGGCAGACCTGGTGGCCAGGACCACCTTCTTTCAGCTGCAATTAAATTATCAACTGCAGCCCAACCTGGACAGACAGAACTAGCCACAGTCACACATACCCTGGTGCCTTCTCGGCTTGACTATTGTGATGCACACTATGTGGGACTGCCCTTGAAGATGGTCTGGAAATTCCACTTGGTATAGAACAGGGTGGTGCAGCTGCTGGTACAAGCAGGACCATGTGCTCATGACCCCAAAACTTTGCCATCTTCATTGGTAACCAGTTGAGCTCCAGGCCCAATCCGAGGAGCTCGTCTTGACATATGAAGTCCTAAATGGCTTGGGACCACGGTATTTGAAGGAGTGCCTGCTCCCGTATGCACCAACCAGGCCCCTAAGTCCTGGTTTCAGAGGCCCCTCTGAGAGACCCATCTCCAGGGAGGTAGGGAGGATGGTGAACGAAAGAGGGGGTGCTCAGTAGTCCCGCCCCCTTTATGGAATGGTGTCCCAAAAGCAGTTTGCCTGGCGCCTTCGCTACAATCTTTTTGGCACCAGGCAAAAACAGTTTTGTTCTCTAGGCATTTTAATAACTGATTTTATTCTCATAATTTTAAACTGTTTATTGATTAATATGTACATTTTTAAATTAATGTCCTCAGCTGCGTGCTGCCTTGTTTTATTGTCTTTTGGTCATTGTATTTTAATTGTCGCTTTTATTGTTAGTATACATTTTAATGATTGTGATCTGCTTAGAGGGCCCTCAGGCTGATTAGCAGAAAATATGTCTATAAATAAATAAAAAAAGAAATAGGTTCTTTACATTAATTGACCGAGAGTGTCTTCTGGCTGATATCCTTCACAAAGAAGTCAATTTTTAACTATATCATCAATTGAAATGCATGTCTAGGAGAGCTCCCTAGATATGTCCCCTCAGAAATAAATGCTATTGCATTCAGTAGGACTTACTTCCATACTGGTGTGTACCCCTACCTGGGAGTAAACTCTGTTGAAGCCAGTGGCAGTGCAGCTCTGTCTTCATCGGCCATAAAGCTGGTGGTCATTTGAATCTGCTGAAGCAACCTGGAAATCTACTGGTTACACTGACTGCCAATTGAAGTCCGGGCCCAATTTAAGGTTTCTGGTGATGACCTACAAAGCCCTAAATGGGTTGGATCCAGGATACCTGAAGGAACACCTTTTCCCCTATGTGACCTCCCACCCCTTGAGATCTGAGCTGCAGGCCCTGCTCCAGGAGCTCTCCTTGAAGGAGATTCAGAGGGTGGCTACCCAGAGGAGGGCCTTCTCTGCAGTGGCACCCCGTCTATGGAATGTGCTCCCCAGAAAGGTTTGCCTGGAGCTGACGTTATATTCTTTTTGGCGCCAGGCAAATCCCTTTTTTACTTTCCCACTATTTTAATGTATAAGTGATTTTAAGTGGGGTTTCATTATATCAACTGTTGGATGCTGTTGTGTTTGTTTTATTCTACTCATTTATTTTAAGGCGCCTCAAGATGTTTGTAGTGGAGAGGTTAGAAAGCATTTGAGGGAGGGAGGGAGGGAGGGAGGAAATCAATCAATCAGTCAATCAATCTGGGGTATCCTCTTTCACCAAGACAGACAAGTAGTTTTTTGGAAAATGAAAAGAGCTTGGATGAAGACTGGTTGGGGCAAGGAAATATTTCATTCATTTTCTGCAGGCTGCACAATCCCCAGGTAAAGAGGCAGGTCTCTGGGGGTGTTTCGGGCTTCCTGGAGGCAAATGTGAAGGTGTCCAGATGCATGGGACTGCACTGATGCCTCAGGCTGCACAAGGACTCACTCACTCCACCTGGGCACTGAATATGGCCCTGACTGTCCTGCCCTGGAACCAACGTTCCAAAGAATCCTTTCTGCACAGGGCAAGGTCCATGAGCTAATGGTCATGGATCTCCGAGTAGGCAGGAAGGAACTTGGAACAGTCTCTCCTTCAGTCAGTCTCAGGGACAATGTTGTCATGGCAAGAAGAAGCAGTATTTTCCCCAGTACTGAATCACCAGTTGGAGTTAAGATTGCTGGGAGAAATATCAACAACCTCAGATATGCAGATGATACCACTCTAATGGCAGAAAGTGAAGAGGAACTGAAGAGCTGCTTGATGCAAGTGAAGGAGGAGAGTGGAAAAGTTGGCTTGAAACTCAACATTAAGAAAACTAAGATCATGGCATCCGGTCCTCTCACTTCCTGGCAAATAGATGGGGAAGAAATGGAAGTAGTGACAGATTTTATTTTCCTGGGCTCCAAGATCACTGCAGATGGGAACTGCAGCCAAGAAATTAAAAGACGCTTGCTCCTGGGGAGGAAAGCTATAGCAAAGCTACAGCACACTAAAAAGCAGAGACATCACTGTGCCAACAAAAGTGTGTTATAGTCAAGGCTATGGTTTTCCCAATTGCAATGTATGGCTGTGAAAGTTGGACCATAAGGAAGGCTGAGAGCAAAAGGATCGAGGCTTTTGATTTGTGGTGCTGGAAGAGACTCCTGCGAGTCCCTTGGACCGCAAGGCGATCAAACCGGTCAGTCCTAGAGGAGATCAACCCTGACTTTTCTTTAGAAGGCCAGATCCTGAAGATGAAACTCAAATACTTTGGCCACCTAATGAGAAGGAAGGACTCCCTAGAGAAGAGCCTAATGCTGGGAATGATTGACGGCAAAAGAAGAAGGGGAGGGCAGAGGATGAGGTGCCTTGATGGGGTCACTGGGGTGGTGGGTGTGGGCTTGGGTGGACTCCAGGGGATGGTGGAGGACAGGAAGGCCTGGAGGAATGTTGTCCATGGGGTTGCGATGGGTTGGACGCGACTTCGTGACTAATAACAACAACAACAAAGCAGTGCAGGGTGGAGCCTTCCTGCAATGCTTCCCATTCTATTTTCTTGCATCACTAACTTTCTTGCTGAGCCCACTGTCAACGGACTGCAGATGGAGGGTGACACACCCAGAGAGAATGGAACCTTCTGGTGAAGTGGAGGAGAGCTCTGCACATGATTTGTACAACTCTTGCAAGGTTGTCTTCATAGTGGAATTCCAAGTGGCCAAGTAGAGCAATGGAGTCAAATATCCTAGACTGGACCAAAAGGTTTTTCTCCACAATATGGTCCATCCCCATGGGAGAAGAAGAAGTCCAGAGGCCCATCAAAGGCAATGATGCTCACAGCCTCTGCACATAAAATGTCCAGATTGCATGGCTTTGTTACCAGATTTTATCCATGGAACCATGATTTATTCCTGGATAGCCTGCATTCAGATGCATTGGCCTGGCATGGGGAAGGGGGAGAAAATAGTTTGGTTAACCTTTGAAGAGAATGTACTTAATACTTAGTGTATAATCATCGTGCCACCATGACAGCCTGCTTTTGGTGTTGGCAATTTTTGGTGGAAAGATGGGGTAGCAATACAGTAATTGAGCAAATAAATTAGCATATAAATAGATAATTCATACCTGGATCTCTGTGCAAACCAACATCCTGTTATCCTTCGGTTTTCACATCGCTCCACGTTTTGGAATGCTATTTTCCAGTTGAAATGCACAAAAGGATACCTATAGTGTAGGAATTTGCACAAAAAAATTGAATGTGCAAAGGGTAGCGAATTGGACTGGGCCTCGTGAGATCTGGGTTCTAGTTCCCAGTCCACCATGAAGCTCACTGGGAGATTTTGGGCCAGCCGCTATCTGTGAGCCTACCTCACAAGGCTGTGGTGAGCACAGCCTGGAGAGAATGAAGACTGTATGAGTTGCCTTCAGTTTCCCACAAAAGAGGGGAAAATGTGGGATATGCATGCAACTGTTGTTGTTGTTGATGATGCAATAAGAACAATAACAGTGAAATTAATCTACAGAGATGGACATTTCAATCAAGTAAAATGCTTTGCACAAATGTGCCCACTAAGGGAAAGTATGGACAAAAATATATGGATTAGGGGAAATGCATATGTATATACATTATAATATCCATGCAGATATTAACAGAAATACTGTATATACCTAACCTTTTTGTAAGCCGTCCAGAGACTTTTAGTGTTGGATGGCATATAAATACTTTAAATAAATTAATTAAAAAAATAAACCTTAAGAAAAAGCAGGAAGGAAGAAATTTATAGTTCAAAAAAAAAACAAAAACAAAAACAAAGTCCAAACAGATAGAAACAGAACTCAACGCACTGCTCCATCCGTGATTGTGCATGGATGACCAGTGAGGGAAATTCCCAGTGCATGTCTGCTGGAAGTGTCTCCTTGCCTCATGCATTCCACATGGAAATGATGGATCAGGGGAAAGGTATCACCTGATTTGACCCACAGCCATGAGACAATGGCAGAAATAACAATTAGGTGCTGTCCATACCAGCTGCATCAATGAGGGAAAACTGACATTTGATTAATATATTACATTTCACTTCAGGGGCAAAAGAAGAAGATGGCGAAGAAAAGTGCAAGAGAAACCCTCTGCAAAGGTCGTTTCGTCTCACTGATAACCTGATATACAGCAGATAAAAAGTTTCAGCCTGATTTCATGCCTGTCATAGCTCCTATATCACTCTGCGTTTATGGAATATTTCAAAGTTGCAGATGTTCATTTCCACCTCAGATGGATCTCAGGCAGGCTCTGAGCTTGATAACGGAACGCCTTATGAAAAAGGAACCAGCAGGAAAACATTTAACCTATTCTGAGCAAATTGTGTTGGCTGGCAGTCAAATATAATATTGATCTGCAAACATCACTCTCACCTTATAGATGTGTCACGGCCTCCTAGGCCGGCCTATCACCCTGACCTTCTTTCACTATATGTTTCTGATTTTTTAAAAGAGAAAATATCAGAGTTTATCAAGCTGTTCCCCAGCTTGCTCCTTTAGCTTAAATTGGGATGGGGGGTATGGGAGCGTCAGGGGGCTCAAGAGAAGAGAGAACCCCCAGCATGGCTTGAAAATTTGGAATAGAGGCAGAAAAGGACCAGAGCTGGCAAAATCCATAGGGTCCCTTAGACCAGGGAACGGTCATGATTCCGTTCCTTTCTCATTTGCTTGTTTCGTAACATGTTTCTCTGTTAAGTTGATCTGAACAAATTGTGTTGGCTTGGAATCAAATATATTATTGATCTTCGAGCATCACTCTTACTTCATAAATGTCGGGAATCCAAGGCCGACTAATCTTACTGAACATCTTATATTACCTGCCCTCTCTTTTATAAGAAAAATCAAGACTTGCCAAGCACTTTCTTCTCCAGATTATGAAGAACCAAATAGTGTGCGCAGAGGAATGCTATGTGGAACAAGACTCAGCGGAGAGAGTGAGCCTAGCATGGCGGGAAAGTTTGCAATCTATGAACAGCTTAATATGTTGCTGATGAATTTTATCGGATGGGTTTAGGCCCTGAGGTGCACATGCATGTGTTCAATTGTATGCTTTTTAACTTAAATGCAGCAAAGTGACCAGCTTTGGCTGCCACACTTTGGGAGTATCCTGAGAAGACAATGGTGAAGACAACCATGCAAGTGAAAGTTGAATGCAGAAGAAGACAGGAAAGACAAGATGGCTTGAGAGGGGTGGACTCATCTAAACCAAGACACAATTTTGAGCTTACAAGGACTGAGCAGAGCAGGGCAATAGTAACAATGTTACTGTTGTTCTGTAACATCAAGTCATCTCCAGCTTTTGATGACCCCATTGATGGACGTCCTCCAAAATGTCCTTGACAATGCTTCTGAGTCTTTCTAGTTTTCTTCTGCTTACTTGTAGCCTTTCAATGTTACAAGCCAACTACAGTTCTGAGCTGCAGCAGTACCCAGTGGTTAGTGTTTGCTTTGGTGGTGGTGCCAAAGGAGAGGGGCTTCTTAGAACTTCCCCATTGCTTTCAGAAGAGAAGCTTCAAGAGTGGCCAGATAGCCTGATTTACCTCATCAATGCCACCTATCTCCGTTCCAGCATCTAAGTCTTCCATCAGCCAGGAGTTTGGTTTCCTATTTGCATCTTATTGAGAAGGAAATGCATGAAAGAGTGCTTGACTTCTCTTCAGTTATTGCAAAGGGCTTACCTGGTTTACCTGGATCTTGGGCTGCTCCTTAATACTGCTACACTTTCTCATCTTGATTAGCAACTTTTGATTTCATTTAATATTCATTACATGTAGGGAAAAGAGGCAGCAGACCTTCCCTGGACTTCAGAACTCCTAGAAATATAAGCAATGGTTTATTTTATCTTCTGTTTTGATAAAGGTATACCCTCTATATTTATGAAGACTTAAATGTATGCACACACATGCACACACACAGGCACACACTCCTTGTAATTCTGTTACGTAGCCCATCGAATGCGGTAGCATCAAGACATCACTAAGTGCATAAGAACTTGAGAAGATCTGGTTCAGACCAAGCGACTGTCCATGGGCAACCCACCAGAAGGACATGAGTGCAGGATCACCCTTGTTGTTCAACATACACAACCAGGAGGGTGAAACAGATAGAAGGATAAATAGGGACCAGATTCGATGGGAATATGATGGAACTGACGTAGGAAATAATATATGTGCAAGTAGCATAGACTGAAAATAGACTGATCTATTTCTGTGTGTCTGATATTGCAGAGCCTAAAGCAGAAAGGAAACTGTCTTTCTCACTCCTTTATTGTTTTTAAACTAATTTTCAACTGAGCTGAAATAACAATAACCTTTGGGGAAGGTTATTGATAAAAATAACAGCCCCCAAATATTAGCATCTTGCTTTTCTGCCACCATCATTCCAGGGTGAATTGAATGAAGGAGGCCAATAAGAGAGAAAGAAACAAACCATTCAAATTACTCTTTAGTGCACTGCTTTATACGTATCTCCAAGCTGATCTTAACTTGAGAACACCACACTGGTGATGTTTGCCCCAATCTTGCCACACTCCTGCTTTCCCAATTGTTATTCTGTCCCACATATATCCACCCAAATTTCCAGCTTTTTTTTGCCCCACAAAAAAATTCCCACTTTTTTCCATGCTCTCCACTGTTCCTCTTTTCAAAAGCTCCTACTTCCCTCTGAATTTTTAATACCTTTCCTCCTCCTCCTCCTCCTCTTCAAAAAACAAACTGTATATACATTGACAAAGTATTCTGCAGGTGAGGAGTATATTTTTGTATTTTGCTTGTGGGTGTGGCCACTATCCAGATTTATTCATATTGTTCAAGACAAGTAGGATTAAACCTTCTCCCATACACGCTTTGCTTTCTGAAATTCGCCATGGGGGTAACAATAGAAAAGCAAAACTCTATGTTGATTAAGAAAGATGCAGACAAGCTAGAAAGGTTTCAGGAAAAGACAACAAGGATGATCCAGGATCTGTAGACAAAGGCTTCTGAGGAGAGACACAAAGAACTGTGTGTGTTTGAGAAGAGAAGACTGAGGGGAGATGGGCTAGCACTCTGCAAGTACTTGAAAGGCTGTCACAAAGAGGAAGGCCAGGATCTCTTGTCAATCATCCCAGAGTTCAGGACATGGAACAGGCTCAAGTTACAGAAAGTCGGATTCTGGCTTGATATCAGGAAAAATTTCCTCATTGTCAACAGTACAATGATGGAACCCATGACCTAAGGAGGAGGTGGGATCTCCCACACTGGGGGCATTCAAGATGCAGCTGGACAGAGAGGGAAGGTGTGCCCTGGTATTCTTCACTGGCAGGGGTTGGACTCAGTGGCCTTTTTTGACCCTTCCGACTCTTCTATTTTATGACTTTATGATTGACAGTAGTGAAGTAACACCACAGGAGTAAATAAACAGTTGATACTCATCCACACAACACAATTAGCGCAACATGCAGTTTGGCTCCGGGATAGCAAAAACCATGTTCCTGTTCTCCTTCAGTAGCAGATGGTCTTCATTTGTTACCTTATCTTCCTCTCCCATTCCCCCCCCCACCCCCACAATCACCAAGACTGGATATTTATAGCTTTTCCTCCATCCTGCCTGCATCTATATGAGGGATGCTTCAAGAGTTCAGGTAGCGGCAAATCTATCTGAAGTGATCTTGAAGATATGCTTTGTCAGGGGGAGGTCAGAATGGATGATTTATTTCTGCTAATAATTGCAATTAAAATGAATATTTTCAATGCAAAAGAGCAATAAGTATGTGAAACACTTAACAGATCTTTTGTATTCATTGAAAAGTTGGGTGTGAAGAATGGATCAAATGCTACAGTTGGAAAATGCTTTTATGTGCAAGGAGTGGTGAAGAATTGATGAACTGAATCTGAATGTGGTTCTGATTTCCCCCATTTTTAATCGCAACCATTGTGCAGCTGAACATGCCCCGTTACATGAACAAATTAAACCCCCTGCCAAAACGTAGAACGGATGATGCTGAAAAGGGGGCAACATTTATCCTCACTCCTTCAGGGATATGTGGAACCCTTCATTTTATTTCGGTAATTCCCAGGTCTACAGTCCAGAGTCTCCACAGACTTAGAAAACCTCTGCAGTATCTTGCATCTTAAGAAAAGGAAGTGGACATAAGGGGTGCATTATCAGAACATGCATACCATGTTCAGTATATGCATAACATGTTTTCAGGACAGTGTCATATTTTGAGAGTGGCACATCCTGCCCTGATCTCCCCTCCATGCATTCCAAGGACACATGGAGACAAAAGAAGAGGAAAGGATTTACGTATGTTTGAAATTCAGCCTGCTGAGTTACCCCAAGCTCCTTTCCTAGAGTTCCTGGTTGTGTGGATGTTGTACTCCACTTTGTTTTATCGTAAGACTGTCCTGAGACCATTTGGTAGTGGGCGGTATACAAAAGTCAAGGGAGGAGGAGGAGACTGAGACAGAGATGAAGATGGAGACAGAGAAGGATTAGGAGGGAGGAGGAGGACAATGTATGTGCGGACATATGTTGCACATGAGTTTTCTGGGGTCTCTTGGTACCTGGTACATAGGCTGTTCTTTTATGGACACACACACATATATAGATGCTGGCTGGCTGGCTGGCTGGCTAGACAGATACGCCATGCAAATATTTAACCACAACAGAATTCTGCCCCCCATCTCTCTTCCAGTTACGTTGTGTTTCTCTTTCATTCATGTTATCTTCAGAAAAGCCCTGTCGAGTATGTCAAATTAAGGAAGAATAACTATGCCTGATTTAGCCAGTGAGCTTCATGGTTGAGTAGGGTTCTTAACCCATGCCTTTGAAATGCTAGTCCTCCTTTTTAACCACTGCCCCACACTGCCTTTCCATTCAAGGGATAATTCAATGAACCAAACACATTCACTCATGCAATCCCATCATCTGGAATGGGCCGTGGTCTTTGCCACTCAGAAGAAAAACAGGTCTATCAGCCTTTCTGTGTCCATTTATTTTTATGTTTACCCTGACTGAACTTTTGAGAATGTACCTAGTTGCTGGCCTTAAAAATTAGAGTCAGATTATTGCCTCACATCAAATGTTCTACGCATTTAGCCTTTTCTGCTGAAATAAAATGTTGGAAGAATTTTGGAAGGAATAAAAAATGAAGTTTCTCACATTCCTAGTTGTGCCCAAGGACTGATCCTGCATTGCCCCACCTGCCAAGAACTCATTGCCAAACTCACATTTTCACAGCTTGCTGGTTGTGTTTCCAAACAGCCCCAACACTTTAACTAGTGTCGGTTTCTTTTAAGAATCCACTCCAAATAAACCAAAACTCATATTTACATTTTTGTTGAAACTGGTTTTCTTGATAGACAGTTGGTCCATAGATCAGTGCCTGCTCTGTTCAGTGTACTTTAATTTTGAGCTTTCAGTTTTTTATTTTATTTTATTTTTTTCCCCAGCAGCCCATTCAGAAGTAAATTCTCAGGGAAAATTGAGCTTTGTCATGGATGGATTACTGCTGTAATAGTTGGTCACATATCTCACATGAAACCTTTCAAAGGGAAGGCAAATGAGAAGGAAATGAAATTCATTTCATACTTCTTCAAGCACGCTAAAAGACTTTCTCTCCAAGTAATCGGTAAAGTACCACTAGTTTATTGGAGATTCACATAACTACCATTACATTATACCTTGTCACAATTTCATATATTGGGTGACTGCCTATCCTGCCCTGGCGGTTCTCGCTGAGCATCTTTGGTGGGGTCTGAGCAGAGAATATGGGCTCTTTGATCAAAATGTATCAGCCCAAGTAATGGCACAGATAAAAGAGCTTGAAGCAACGAGGGACATTATGGGTCATAGGTCAATGGGAACTAGAAGGGAGAGTCATCCAGA